CTCCATTTCCTCTGCCCAGTCAAGAAAAGTCAGATGTGCACGGACATACTAAACATGAAAATATGGCATCAGTTTAGCAGTGTATCTCCTCATAAATCTATGACTCAGAGATATAGAGATAGCAGCAACTGTCAACTGTGATGAGTTAAGAGAAGGTTATATACAGGAAGACACTCTGCAAATATTAAAAAATTAATGGGCTCAGTTCTCACAAGGAAATGGAAGATGTAACTGGGAATGAAGGGCTTTTATCAGGACCAAACTTTCATTGGCATCCTAAAGAGTTTCAGTTTCCCTGCAGAGATGGAAGAACTTGTCTCTGTAGCACTACATTAAACATGCCTTTATGGTAGAGTGGCTGAAAAGAATCATTCCTGAATAACAAGCCATATGACAGCTGAGTTTGTCAAACAACACTTAAAAAAGAATTTAATGGTGGTAGAGTAGAAGCATTGCCATTTGGGGACTGGTCAAGGCTGAGAAACCGATGAATGAAGCAAACAGCTCAAAGAAAGCAAATGCACATCCAAGTTTGGATACAGATTTACCTTTCAGCATGTTAATAACTGAAGCACAAAGCCAAGATAATACTGGACAGGGGACTGATTTTCCTTGAGTAGCCCAGCCCACAGGAAGACTTGAATCCACCAAACTCTCTGTATGACAGAGCTTGAGATGATCTGAATGGTGAAATGAAAAGAAAAACACAGACATTGATTTCTTTTTTTTTTTTTTTTTTTACCCTTTGCTCATCCTCTCTTGTACCACATTGCTTTTTTTTTGTTCGTCACCTTCTGGAAAAACAGCCACTGAGGACTTCATTTACCCCCATTAGTCTCTGTCCTGACGTGTCCTGCCCTCACGCCCTAACCTCTACAGTCATTAATTGACAATGAGGTTTAAAATGTTATTCCTTGTTTGGACTTCAATAAACTGTGCCAGAAAGTAGACACCTCTGCTATTATGCCCGTGTAAACGATAAGGCCACAGTAACAATAGGAGTGTTTTTCTCTGGAGACAACCCAGCGTGTAACACACCTGGGAACACACGTGATCCTTCAGTGCTGCAGACATGATGCAACTCCACATGTCCAGTAATCTGCAAAAAGATAAGAAATACAATATAAATTTATTTTTGTAAGGAACTGTAAATCAAAGATAGTTGACCAAAAAGTCAGCACCTGTGTGTTTAAACGGCCGCTGTGTTCTTTCCTCACTGAGTCAGGGGGCAGCCCCGTCCGTTTCATCTTTACGTTTGATTCATTCACTTCTTTTACATGTCTTTGATCGACTACTTTCATTTACATGACCAAACAAGCACCTGACCTCATTTGTAATGGAGAATATCCCACTCAGTATTCAGTGTATTCAGTGTTTTTCTTTGAAAATTGACAGTTCTGTTGAAACTCATGTGACATTCAAGATGAAGATTCCAGACATAGATCTTAAGAGACCTTTTATATAAATAGTTTCTCGTCAGAGTGTAAGCAAACCTGTGGTGGAAAATGCTAATTAGGACATCCTATAATTTATTTTAGTAATAATAGAGTTATAAGTCTAATTGTTGCAGTGTATAGTGGGTTTTTGATGTTACCTAATAGTATGGGAGTGGCAACAAGTGAAATTGGCATTGGCCTTTATAGTGATGGTAGCTGGCAATAAGAACAAAATATTGAAGTAAAATCAGTAGAAAATTTTCAGTTTCAGAGACTTTGTTTTAGTTTTCAGAAAATACTACAGTATTCCCCCTGGTGTGAACTTGTGTGCATCTCTTGCGTAAATTAATATTCACCAGTTTTCATTCAGTCATTCATTGAATTCATACCCCTGTGCACAACAGAAAAATTCCTTAATTTTCCTTAAAAACTGTCCCTGAGGAATGGGAATCATGCTTTCTAGAATGTCTGATTTTGCTTAAGTATTTCTTTCTCTTAATGTAGTACTTTCCTCGACGAGGCATGAGCAGCTCTTTTCCATGTCACAACAGTGTCATTTGGTGTAGCTGTGTTGTACACATTTGGAGTCGTTAGGCTTATACATGTTGCAAGGTGCGAGAAACAGGTTATGATAACAGAAAGGGAAAAAAAGGTGTGAAAAAATGTCATAAATTGGCAGAAATACATGAGAATTGTAACCCTGGGGGGGTTGGCAAGTATGCATGGAAGAGGGAGGATAGCAGGCATAGTGCTGTGTAGCTTGGTTGGAACTACTTTGTTCATTTCCCCTTTACAAAACCAGGTCTTCAGCGTACGTACAGAACAGACAGCCAGTGGACCATGAGGAGATGAAGTGTATTTAATTAGCATGACTGACTGCACCTTCAATGGATTGAGCTATTTTCTAATAAGCAGTTTTATGTATCCCTGCTGACTTTTACAATCACCAGCATAGTTTAATGGCACCATTCAATGTGTTGGGGATTACTGTTTTCTTTTGTCTTTGTCACTATTGTGGAGAAGTTGCAGAAAAGAACCCCCAAACCAGTTGTGTTTAGATATCTGTACCCAAAGGTTGGGAAATCTGGTTTAATCTGTGCAAGATTTAAATCATTCCAGGTCTGAAGTTTTGTATGTCGTTTCCACTCTGCAGAGGTTTGAGTCTTCACCACATCTCAAATAATTAATGTTCATGTCGAGCATCACTTTCTGGAAGTGGGCAGTGTGGCTAAGGTGAGAGCGCTAACGTTTAGCTGTGCTAAATCTAGGGCACTGGACCTCTCATTAATAAGGATTTGTCTGTCTGCCCCGTGTAATTTAATGATGACAGGTGATATGGCAGCCGTGATGTGGACTGACGTCAAGCGCAGCTCATTGTCAGAGCGCTGTGCTGTCTGTGAAAGTCTCTGTGGTATTCTTCGCTTAACTGCAGTTTGTCTGCACGTCTGATAGCAGAGAGAAGGAGTGATTAAGCTCCCCATGTGGCAGCTGAGATACATACCATCCATCCTGCAACAGCTCTCTGGGCTCCTGATGGATAGGTAGGTTGATAGGCAGATAGAAAACAGACACGAGGCACTGTGTTGAAAACTTATGCCATTGCTTAGTCAAGGTCAAAGACTTATTTCAGTCTCAGCGTAGTGCATGGAAGGATTACTGAATTGGTCTATGGGGCACAGGCCCCTGGGCTCCATGAGCACTTGGGCCCTAATTTGAAGTGGCTGTTGACATTGCTAGGTAAAAAGTCAATCAAATGACTACTAAAAGACAGAAGGGCCACAAAGAGATGGAAAATAACTAGGAAGGGGCACATAATGTATTCCAACAGGAACACACATGAAATATTTGATGTTGTTTGTTTGGGGAAAACTAGCAATTTGAGGATGTCACATTGTGCTCTGAGAAACTAAGACTGATTTTCTGATGGTTTATAGACTCAACAGCCAGCTAACTGAATAATCAGTAATGACACTAACATGTATTTCCATTTGTAAAATCAACTAAATGAATGTTTTGTCCTTTAAAAAGTGCACACTGTAAGTTGTGGAAGAAGCAATTTATAGTATCCTGTGGTTAGCTCAATTAGCTGCATAGAAACACTTTGGCAAAACATGTGCAAAAGCAATCAGGCCCTGTGGGTGGAAGTATAATGAAATGACAAAATGGGTCCCTATTTGGAGATTTGGGCACACAGCCACATACGCTATGTCTGTGTTATGATGCTACCATTGTACCAGTCAGCACTTTTTCTCCTGAGGATTGCAGGGGGAGATAATCAGAGAGCCACAATACATAATTTTCTATCTAGTGCCATTATGCAACGTTTTTGTCAAAATGTACCATAGGTAACATCCTATTTCCTTGACCATTTTAGAGTAATACATCTTGCACTATAAGCCCCATGCTGTGCTGTGGTGTACAGTACCCCTTCATTCTGAGTATGAATTGAAAAATCCTATAGTTGTGTTTATGCTGTGGTGTATAAGTTAATTATTAGTAACCTTTTCTGATATGTACTGCACAATCTCTTTAGTACGATCACTGCAGGGGACTGATTCTTATTCTAGATAACTACACACCCCTGCACGTCTATTGCCTAATTAAGCTTTCAGTACAAAATGGCAGGAAATTAGTGTAATTATACAAGAAAGATATGATGAAAATTTCCTGCCTCATGTTTTTGCATGGACTAAAGATGTGAGCTGAAATGCAAAATATTCACAAGTCATAACAGATGGTAAAAGAGGCGTTTGTATATTTAATGCATCTGTAGATGATATCTTTCACCACACAGAGTGACAGGGTCTGTGTTTACAAACAGCGTTCATATGCAGAATCTACAATTTCTGTTCACTTGCAGCCCCCCCGGCACGGTGACTGACATCTCAGATAGCTTTTTATTTTTCGTACACCTCTGGCATCTCCCAAAGAAGGGCCCAAATTAAGGGTTATTATTGTTGCCAAGGCAACCTACTGGGTAATTTTCTGTAATTTTCCAAGAGGGATTGCTATTGATGGTGGAGTCCATATCTAGATGCAGTATACCTTAAGAAAACACATATAAACACATGAAATGAAATGTTTTTTGTTGTGCGAAGGAGGTGCTGATTTTAATCTTGGTACTTTCTGTTTCCAGTGTGAAATGTCTCATAAATGGTGTGTAATTCCTTATATAAATGTTGGCATTGTCTGAAAGCATAAGATGTACTTCATTTGAAGATGATTTAATGCATGTTAAATATTTACCCTGCTTAGTCATCACAGCGTAGATTAAAGCCTGCACACAAACTGTACATTCTCCTCATGGGCACGATTTTCACCTCTCGCTAAGCTGCCTCAGAAAGATAAGCTGCTAAAGATTGACAGAATTACTCCCAGCATCTCTTTTCTCACTGTGAAATCTTGTGATCAAAACATTTTATCCTCTGCTGTTTCTCCGTGTGAAATTCTGAATATCTCAGATGCCCCAGATTTCAGCATATTGTATAAGCCCAGCTATAAGTGCTGACTCATGTTGAGTTTTTGCTCATTATTCTCTTTCCTTTGTGTTTTTTTTTGTTGCAGCTCTGCAATGGTGGCTCTGTGACAGATTTGGCTAAGGGCATGCTGAAGAGGGGAGACAGAATGGATGAAGCCATTATTGCCTACATCTTGCATGAGGCCCTCATGGTAAGTCTGGCCTTTTGAATGTGCACGAGGAGAGACAATGCTGTACTGTAGGGTTCAATAGAGCAACCTCCCACTGAATACATCGCCTCAATGAAAAGAGCTTAAAACGGGATAATTTTGAAGGCAGGTGCTTGTCAGAAAAAGCTGTTAACCTCTTTTTTTCACAGGGTCTCCAGCACCTGCATGTCAACAAGACCATCCACCGTGACGTCAAAGGCAATAACATCCTGCTAACGACACATGGAGGGGTCAAGCTTGTGGATTTTGGTATGCACTCTATTTCTTTTTAAAGCTTTAAAGGGGACCTATTAAGCTCATTTTCAGGTTCATACTCTAGGTAGGGCTGCGTGATTATGGCCAAAATGATAACCAGTATTATTTTGATCAATGTTAAGATCATTATTCTCACAATTCTACATTGTTTTAAGGTCAAACTATTTTTATTGCACTTTCACATTTAAATAAACAAAGCACTGCTTTCACTTTCATGTTGTGTTACATTCATAATTGCACTAATTTTACACAAATGGTTTTTACAAACGGCATGAGCAGAGCACACATTTTATTTTAAACATTACTTTTGCTGTCCATTATGTTCATTTAATTGTGGGAAACCAAATTGTGATTGTAATTAATATTCGTTTAGGTGTGCATCCTAAACTTAAGGCTTCCGGCAGTCATGAAATTCCTGGAAAAGTTATGAAATTAGACAAACTATTTCCCAGGTCTTAAAATGGTTTGCATTGTAGAGAATGTTTTGGAAAAGTGTAAATATACATTGTTTTAGCTATTGTTTAGAATATATTCATGAAAATCCCAAAATATGTCTGAGGCTAATGGCGAAATATGTTCCTTGTAATACTGATTTAAAATACTGCTCTACATGACCGTTGAAATGTCAGTAGTATCATGTGATGTACATTGCAGAGTGTGGAAACCTCATCTGAGCCCCATCAAAACCCAAAGGTTCAGGCAAACAAATCAGAAATTTTGCTCGGATTCGGTTCAGGTTCGGCCCACTAGACATGCTGCTGTGTTGTGCTATGGCCTATTCAAGTGCTGGAATTTTTTATTTACGTGACAATGCCTGAACGCAACACAGACTCCGCACCAACTGAGTGTGTATGCTGTGCTGCTGTGCGTGTGGCTTGTTTGACTGTGTGTAACAGCAGCCTTTCGATGGTCATTTACACACTGTCCATATGTGATCATGGTAAACAGACACTCTGTAACCATGATGACAATAACTATGTCAGAAAAAATCAGAAAGGCTCTCGGGCTTGGTTATAACTGTCTCTGACTTAGGTCGAGTTCGGTCAGGAAAATGTGGCCGTGACGTATGCAGCGATCAAATGATCGAGTAAAGTTAGCAAGCGCTAGCAGTTTGTTTATGCCTGGGATATGCATGTCTAATAATGCATGGCTTTTGAACAACAAATATAACACACATCTCAAGATTGTGACAGACCCTAGCTGTGCTGGATGTAAGTTCTGCACCAGTGTTGACAGCATGAGGGAAGAAGCTCTGGTCAGCCATGCTAAAGGGAAAATGCATCAAGACAACCAAAAAGCCACTCACCAGACTGCTGGCATCTGCACAAATTCCAGGCCTGCTGTAACTAGACGAGATAACTTTATTGCTTCTTCCAGTATGGCAAGCATCGGTATAGCTGGGCAACAACTTCAGCATATGCTCATTAAATCCATTGCCTTATACAATGATCTGCCTACCTTTTTTAAACTACCTAAATAAAGCCATGGAAATTGGGTAAAACATGACGGAAGAGGCATTGAAAGGTTTGAAAATGTATTAGTAAAAATGTGTGGGAACCCTGACACCTGTATTTTGGGTGTCTACTATGAACATGTTTACATGTTTTGATGTACAAAAAACACATTGTTATTCTCATATTGTCTGTGCTGGAACATCTGTATTTACCCTCTGTCTGAGACACTCTGTTTTAGCGCCTGTCTCTTTACAGCCAGTCTGCTCTGATTGGTCAGTGTTTTCGGGTCTGCACTGTCATTGCAAGCTTCTAAATCAAATCATGTTTCAGCAGGAATAATGTCCATGAGAAATCACCAATAAAAGCTGCTTAAGCAAGTCATCACAACCTGACATGTTCCAGCCGTAAAACTAACCCAAATCGGGTAAGAACAACATCGTCAACCAAGATTACATATTTCCTTGAGGTTAGCATGTAGCTAGGTGTAGCAGTGTATGTAAACACTTAAAGCAACATGCCTGGAGCAGATGTCCATATAAAGAAATCTTTTGAAAGTAGAAAAAATATTAGAAACAGAGTATTCTGAACGGTCTGAGGCCTGAAGTTTTTGCTTACAGGTATTACTTTTACATACATTTACCTCATTATTTGAAATTTAAGCCATGTTTAATATGAATATCTGACATTATAACATTAAATACATGACAGAAAATAAGGAAAAACACAAAAGGTCCCCTGTGACACCATGTCTTTTTTGCACTATCCTCTTCTAATCAGGGAAAATCATGTTATGGCTCTATTTAACAGAAGAGGGTCAAATCCATTACCTTCAGCCGCCTGCCAAATAAATTGTGCCACTAATTAGTTTCCTTGAGAGGCTGGAATAGGTTTACACAACCCAACAAGGTGGCAGATGATTATACTTTTCCATTACTGCCTACCTTTTACATTCTCCAGCAGACAGCAGCGGACATTGTTATTATTCACTCTGTGTTTGCACTGATTTGCTTTTGGGTTTTCTTAACCAAATGAGTTGCTCCGAGCAGCACAACCATAGTTCTCGGATTGAAGACTAACTATGGGCAAAGTGATTCTGACTACTTCCAGGGGATGACTCACCCCTGTTTTTTGCAGGGGCTGAAAAAACAGCTGCCTGTTTTTATTACAAATAAAATCCCCACTCAACATGTATGTAGGTTTGCATTAAGCCTGCTAATTGTGGGCTTCTCTTAAAAGCCTTTTCCAACCATGAAGCACAAAGTGCACTGCTCTTACATAAGGAGGGGAAGGAGGGGTAATAATGGAATCACTTAATATGTGAATGTGAAGTAGCTAATATGAAGCAGGGCCATCCATTGCCTTCAGAGCAGCTCCTTCGTCCTCACGAGGCTGCCAGAGATTCTCGACACCTGTTTATTGCACTAGTTTTTGAAGAAGAAAAGCCCTGAGGCTTATAGGAATTAAAAAGTTAGAGATGTCATTTAAACTGTGCTTTCCAAAATGTCTCATAAATTTTAAGTGATGTCTACATCTGGCGATAAGAGCTTCATTCTATGTTCTGATATATTTGAATCTTTTTTTTAACAGATTTGAATGACACAGAAAATTGAAAAAATTAAGGTAACTTCATTTTAAGTTAAATTAATCAACTGAAAATTAAGTTCCCAACCATATTTCATCTGAGCTCACCTGATCTGTTTCCTCTGCTCTTCATTATCAACGCGTTTTTTTAATGCTCTGAGCAATAACGCACAGCACATCTTCTTTGTAGCATCCATGTTGTGTCCGCATTACAACTTATAGCTCCTGAACACACCGAAGTTAGAAAAATGACCACCCTAGGAGCATATGAATGAGTCTGATATACATTAACAGCAAGTGGGCAAGTGGAAAAGTTGGGGATTCATTAACACTCTAAAAAGTTGTTCAAAAAGATTTGTTTGTCCTTTTTCACCCATCACTAAACCAAACCCTGGCTCTGTTTTATTGCATTTAACGTTGAATTTCATTTTATTTTTTATTTTTTATTTATTTTTTTATTTTTTTTATCATTTAACTGTATGCTTCCATTCAATATGCTCCCAGCTGAATGGTGGATCAAACAACTCATCATTATTTGAACCATGCCCCCTGGTTATTCAGCTGAGATTGTATTTTTTCACAACATTTGGTTGTTCTCTTAATTTTGCTGCTTTACACTGAAAATCAACCATATCAACATCAAATACTAAATCACACAATGAATTTTGTGTATTGTTACATCCCAAGTGCGTATATTTAAACCTATACAACAAATGTCAACATTTGTTCAAACACAGCATCTCACGGTGACTTTTAACAGCTATTTGCCACAAAAGAAATAGTGGACAAAGTACCAACATTTTTATAGTTAATGTGTACAGTGACAAAAAGTTATGTTCCAGTTGTAACAGTCTATTAGCTGCTGAAGGTTGATAAATCCAAAATTAGTCAAGGTTCTTTTAAGTGCTGGAAAAGTGTCATCTTTTCTGCTGTTTAATTTCAAAATGTCATTGAAAGTAGTTAGTTCCTAATTGTCTGCTTTTACTCATGAAATTATTATAAATCGATGATATAAACTGAATGGATGTGGCATTTTAGAATTAAATTACTCAAACTGCAAAAAATGGAACATGCCAAAGATAAGAAAAGAGACAGAGAGAGGTTATGAGAGTAGAGAGAGCAGCTCCATCAACTTGAGCAGAAATTTGCCAACATTTTTCAACAGAAAGTGAAGGCATCATACAGTATGTCGTTGCATATGGACAGTTAGTGGTTTTGGAGAGCTGCTACATCACAGGATCGATCTGCAGCCTTGTGTGTACCTCTACAGCCACTTGAGCTGCCAAAAGTTTCCTTGAAAAAGACACTGAACTGGTGATACATTATAAGTCCCTCTTGATAAGAAAACAGAGTCTTAAATCGATCTACATTAGGGTTAAATAGTAATTGAAAATGAAGATGATATATATATATATATATATATATATATATATATATATATATATATTACACGTCAACGATGTCCTTTTCAGAGACCCACGAGTTAAATTTCTCAGGCCACCCCA